GGCACCCCCCACCTTGGTGGCACCCGGGGCGGACCGCCCCCTCTGCCCCCCCCCCTTAGTACGCCACTGGGAGGAGGTAATAGAAAGTATAGAAAGTAGTTTTGAGGCTGCTGAGATCAAGGGTGAGTTAATGGGAATGTTGAAGTCTCCAAGAATTACAGATGGAATGTTAGAGGAGAGGAAGTAAGGAAGCCAGGCAGCAAAGTGGTCAAGGAAGAGAAGTGGGGAACCAGGCGGATTGAATGAATCTCAAATGATGAGAAAGAGAGGGAAGGGGGTGTGGGTAGATGTTTGAACAAGCAGTGAGGTAAGAGCAGAAACCCTACGCCACCACCTTTATTTTCAGAGTTTCTTGGGTAGTGGGAAAATTGAAGACGACCAAAGGATAAAGAGGCAGAGGTAGCAGTGTCAGAGGGAGAGAGCCATGTTTCAGTTAATGCTAGTAATAGTAGGGAACGAGAGATGAAGTTGTTATGGTGACCAGAATGTTCCTTTAATTTGATTAAAGGAACACTATAGTGTCAGGAATACAAACATATATTACTGACACCATAGTTGTGAAAACGCTATTCACCCTGGCTTTATGTGAAAATGACTATGCTCCTTCCCTTTCATGACACTGTCAAAAAGGGGCCAAGCATGGATGTCATTACAATTATGCCCGCGCCCTGGAAAAATTCCTGCGGACACCCATGTCACCAGAATCAAAGAACTGACAAAGTTCCCAGGGCAAGGCAGTGCTTAAATACCCGGGTTGATTAGCGATCTGCCTCAGGTGAAGCACAGGTTTTAGCCACAGATGAAGTCCAGCCCAGGACACAAAGGATCAAATCCCCTGTTGGGGACTTCTGGGGTGACTATGTCTGGCCGTCTGGATGTCACGGTCATCGTAACAGTTAGAGGTAAGAGTAAGGTAGGGTTAGTGTTAGGGTAAGGTAAAGGTTACTACTTGGTTTGCGTTAATGTTCTTTTATGATTATGGATAATGTAGCGTTAAAGGCACACTATAGTCACCAAAACAAGTTAAGCTTAATGAAGCAGTTTTTTGTGTATAGATCATGCTGCTGTAGTTTCACTGCTCAATTCTCTGCAATTTAGGTTAGATTTAGTTAAATCACTTTTGTTTCTATTTATGCAGCCCTAGCCACATCTCCCCTGGCTGTGACTTACCACAGCATGTATGAAAAAATGGTTTCATTTTCAATCAGATGTTATCTTACTTTAGAGGAATTTATATATTGCTCTGTGAATTGAAATTTACAGACTCCTGCTAGGTCTAGAAGTCTATTAACAGAGCAGAAGATAAGACATTCTAATTAAATAGACTGTGCAATAAAGGAAGTTTAAAGGATCACTATAGGGTCAGGAACACAACATGTATTCCTGACCCTATAGTGTTAAAACCACCATTTAGCACCCCTGGGTCCCTCATGCCTCCATAAATAGGCTCCTCCACTGAGGGGAGAAGGAAGGCGAGGCGTCGGAAACGGAGAAAGAACAATCCATTACCAGAGGGTCCCCAGGACTTTCGGTTATTGTATTTGCGCTTTTTAATGTGGCTAGTGTCATTGGGGAAAAGGCGTCTCACAAGTGCTCTGCATTGTTCTGCTACTAGGACACCATTTGGAATGCTAGTCGTACCTGTGGTGGAGGTGTGTCAAGCAATTTCGTCAACGTTTGGCGGTGCACCCCTCAATTTTCTGCGACCAGATGGACATGGCATCTGACTCCCCATTATGACCCGTGCCGCAGCAGGGTGGTTTCTCGTCCTTTCTTGGGGAGGCCGGTGGGGGCGGATCATCCAGCAGCGCGGCAGAGGTCAGGCTGTTGTTGCACATTTAATGACAATCAGTGTACATGGGGTGCCTCGTGCACCGAATGCTCGGCCTGTGGGGGCGCTTATCCCATGTCCCGACGGGGACAAGCTAGTGAGACAGAGGATCTGGGTACTATGGGCAACAACGCCAGTTGTTGTAAGCTCAATGTGCCCGTGGCTCACCCGTTCTAGAATCCGTTGAGCAGCCATCGTCCTGTTGGAAGGCGGTGGGCACGGGCTTTGGATTCCTTTCTCTTTCGTCCCCCTTCATTGCTGGTTCGGAAACCTTTGGTCAGTCCGGGTTTTCCTGCATGTGGTCGACTACGCTTGTCAGGGAGGTGTCTCTAGGTCGCATAGCCGGTACCTTTAGCGACCCCCCTTTACTGGACTGGCTGGTCTCCCCCTTGGGCATGGTGCTGAAATACTGTTGGATTCTATGTTTGTCAGGCATTTGTGGGGTTTTAGGTGCGTGAGGGCATCTCTTCGGGAAGTTGGGGCATAGAGATTGATTCTGTGGCGGGTTTAGGCCGCTTGCCTCGGATCCGGTTTGCGGCTTATGGCGGGACGTGGCTGGCCCTAGGGCTTCATAAGATCTGACTGCGTGACGTCCGGGGTCACTGGACCCCGGCACTTCGTTCGGGTGACTCGGGCTCTGCAGGATGATCTGGCGCGTATGATGGCAGGTCCTACTGGCAGGCGCCTGAGGTCTCTAACTCGGTCCTACACCTTTTCCCAAGGTGTGGCTTGGTTGGGTTTGGGGTTGATTCTGTGCCCTAGATGGTGTGCTGCCTGTAGGCCGGATGGTTGGCATGTCTCTGGCCTCACAAGGAATGGGAGTCCGGAGATCTATTCCCCATGCTAGTGGCGTTTGGAGGTCCCAGTTTCAGGATAAATGGGTTGTTTTTTGCTGCGGCACTCTGGGGGGTTTCAAGCTGTCAATCGTCTGGCGGCCTCCTCCCCTCCAGTAGGTGGCTTGCTGCGGCATTTTGGGGCTCTGATGTTTATGTCTTGTAGGGCAGATCATATTCCTGGCATTCACTCTCTCTCTCATTCACGATGGTTGGGATTTTCGGGCGGGCAGAGCTGGAAGGGACTCCAGGCCCGGTGGAGGTGTGGTCGCTTGGTCTGGCAGATTGAAGGATTTGTCCGTGGATCAGTCTCTCAGGCCTGTCTCTTAATATTGGCCTATTCCCTGGCATTAGTTGGGGCCATGCGCATTGGGGAATTGGTGATTCCTAGTAGGCCATGCTTTGGTGGGGTGTTGTTTGGCACCCAGCGGATCATATCGCTATACGTATTTGGCAATCAAGGTCGGATGTTTTCGGGAAGGGTACGGGGGTTTCGGCTATTTGCACTTTTTCTTTTGTGGAGAACTGTGAGCTGCGCCCAGTATGCACGGGCCCTCTTTTGGGTCATGCGGATGGGATCTTTCTTTCCCATTCCCAATTCTTTGGGTCTTTTGCTCGAGTCTGATGGTTCACGGGATTGACAGCAAGGAATATTGTGGCATTCCTTTTTGGGTCGGAGCTGCCTTAGAGGCTTTTAAGATGGTTATGTCAGCACACGTGGTGCAGAGGATCAGGAGGGGGTATAGTGAGATGGCTCAGTGAGCTAATGCTGGATTCATAGAATTTGTTCAATCCTTGTGGGGTTGCAGTCCTTGTGGGGTTGCAGGTTCAATTATGGCGGTGGCTCAACCCTTTGTGGTAGATAAAATGAGTACCAGTACTTTAGGTAAAAGTAACAATTCCCAGAGTTCACTGGGAAACCAGAAAATATCTGTCTCTTTCTTGGTTATACTCCCAAGTGGCATGCGGGCATCCATCCTTAAGAGGTTAATCCAGGCCTTACATCATTTTTATTGAGGCAAAGAAATGTATATGATACACAAAGTAAGGAGTCACAACATAAGTGAAAATATGCTTTAGATACATAACGTGAGTGATATCAAGAGCACCATATCATAGAAGGCCACATCCAGGTGGTGTAAGTACTCAATAGTGTTGAGATGAGGCTCGTGGGACTGGTCCAGGCCCTGTTAAACCAGTAAACGGGCAGCTGCCATCTTGCGCACGAAATCCCGCAGTGTGCAATATAAGGCAAGTGATGTTGAGAGTTCACAATAGCCCAGTGGGGACCACGATAACCCCCGACGGTAAGGGATGGGTGGGGGTAGGAGTTCAGCAAGAACTGGAGGTCGAGAAGATCGGTCGATTCTCCCCCGCCTCTTCAGTAATAGGCCGCAGCAGGGCACCTCGGGTCTCCAGCAGATTATTGCTGCTATTAAGGTGTCAATTTTGTCAGCTGCAGTTCCCCGGGTCGAGTGATGTCTGACAAGAGGTGTAGCTGCTCGGTAATCAGGAGAAATGCCCAAAATGTGGGAGCTCAGGCACCACACGTCTGCGCCTCTTGGTTGCTAGGCTCCGCCCCCCGCCTTACGTCTTCTTACGTATAACAAAAAAACTAAGGTGAATGTCAAAAAAATGTAATCAAAGAAAAATAGAGGATCAAAAAAGGGTTAATTTAAACCCAAAACCTGCAAAGTGACAGAGCCACTTTACAAGAGGAATCTGTTGTAAATATACAGTAGTTGCCACATTGTTTTCAGTTATGAGGAAAGAACACTTGCAGTTTGCCTCACTTTCAGGTGAACAATACAAATAATGAAATTTCAAATTAGCAATACCGTAATTATTAAACTGATCTTTTTAAAGCAGGGTAAGTTGCAAAAGCATCCAGAGACACTGTCCTTAATGTGTTAGTGTGTCCTTAGTATTTGACAATTTGCTTTTTGTTGCAGCAGTAATAGCATTTTTCAGAAGGACTGATGTCCATTTCAAAGTTATAACATGTTATTGGATAATATAGCTATTAGTCTATATATCGATCTATTTTCATGTAAATTCCTGCTTCTAAATTTTATTTTTCAGGGTGCTGTGTGTAATGATGGACTCATGATGTGTTTCTGCGGTTGGTGTGAGATCTGCAGAATGGCTAGAGAACTTAAACATCGATCATAGTAATCATCAAGGTATGCTTTTAAAACCATCACCTATCTTATGCTCACATACAGCCTAATAATTCATAGGCTTGCTATAACAGTAAAAAAATAAAGGTTTTACTCACCTCTGCGCTGCTAACCTGACAGCCACTAGAGGTGGATCTAAACATTGCAGCTTCTCAAAAACTGCAATATTTTACATTGCAGGGTTCAGAGGACAGGAATACTGCAACCAGGCCACTTCGTTGAAGTGGAGTGGTCTCGGTGACAATAGTGTGCACTAAATATTTATAAACTGGGACCTGGCATACAAATAGAACATTTAGTATGATATTGATTTTTAAGCAGAACAGCTATATTAATTTTACATTGTTTGTCTTTCAGATTGAAGACACAACAGGAAAGATTTTCACGTCAGAAAACGTTGCCCAACAAAGTGACAAATTGCTGCCCCCATTCATAAAATCTCAATAAAAATCTTTAACAAGTCCATGTATTTAAGTTTTCAAATTAATTGATAATATTTACTGAAACCTCTCACCTGAAAACCAAATTTGCAATTTTAACGACAAATAAGTTACGTTGGTTGATAAAGCTGTGAATTGTTCCATTCTGTTATTTCGACCTAATTTTACTCATTGATTTTAAAATCCACTTATTAGTGAATAAATCACATAGTGAAAAATATACCTGTGAAAAAAAAATTTATGTTCTTGTCTTACTATAAACAGGTCATCACAAAACAAATTATACAGATTTTCATGTTATGTTTATGTTACCTTCACTATATTGCAATACACATATTTTAAATAAATCATGTCATTCATTAAAGGACCACTCTAGGCACCCAGACCACTTCAGCTTAATGAAGTGGTCTGGGTGCCAGGTCCTTCTAGGGTTAACCCATTTTTTTTATAAACATATCACAATTGGCACAGGCCAAAATAGGAGACCCTGTCAGTGTCTGTTTAGGCCCAGGATATCTCCCATAAGCACCTGTCAGTCCAGAATGACATTGGCTGAATTCAGCCTGGTCTATCACTGTTTTAAGCACAATTTAGTTTTTTTAACCATAGCACAGGTTCCAGTCCAAAAAATCCAATGACCAGAAATCAGCCATTGTGGTTCTCATCAGCATGGCTCTGTTCTGGTACAGAAATTGAAGTATTTAGCTAGGTACCAAAAAAAGATTTGTTAGCAGTTATGTGAAAAATGAAAACTACATTTTGCTAACAAAAAACTTCATAAGCCATTCTATACTCATTTCTGGTTTCACTTTGGATGTGCAATATTAAAAAACAGATCAGCTCTTCAAAGTTTATGCCACGCAAGCAGGGCCGGATTAACATAGGGGCTGATGGAGCTGCAGCTCCAGGCCCAGGCCCATGGAATAGGCCCATTTTACACACTACTCTTAGGTTTGCCACCTGACTGGTATTTTAATGGCACAGACGGAATTTGAGGCTGCCTGGCCCTGCCAGTATTGCAGTAATACCAGCAATACAAATGCAGGTAATTTTCTCAGAATAAATGGAAATTATTCTGCAATACCAGCACACTGTGTGTGGAGAGAGGCAGGGATAGGAAGTTACAGAATATCCCTGCCTCTCTCTACTACTCACTGATCCGTGGGGGAGCAGCTACACAGCACAGGGAGTCCAGACAGCAGCTCTACAGCTCAGGTAAGTGAGGGATCGGGGGAAAGGCAGCAGGGACACATGGGGACACGGAGACACTAGGGGACACATTGGGGACACTGAAACACTAGGGGACACATGGGGACACATACACTAGGGGACACTGAGACACTAGGACACAGACACTGGGAGACCTGGGAACACTGGAAAACATGGGGACACAGACACTTGGGGACATATGGGGACACAGACACTAGGGGACACATGGGGACACTGTCACTAGGGGACACTGAGACACTAGGACACATGGGGACACAGACACTGGGGACACTGAGACACTAGGGGACACTGAGACACATGGGGACGCTGTGAGACATAGGGACATTGGGAGACATTGGGACATGGAGACACTATGTCCCCCAGCCAGTGTCCCTAGTGTCTCAGTGTCCCCAAGTCTCCCAGTGTCTGTGTCCCATGTCTCTCAGTGTGCCTAGTGTCCCCATGTGTCCCAGTGTCCCCATGTCTATGTCCACAACTGTCCCCATGTCTCCCCAAGTGTCTGTCTCCCAGCCAGTGTCCCCTAGTCTCCCAGTATCCCCTAGTCTCCCAGTGTCCCCTAGTCTCCCAGTGTCTGTGTCCCTAGTGTCTTAGTGTCCCCATATGTTTCAGTGTCTCCATGTCTCTCAGTGTGTTCCTATTGTCTCAGTGTGCCTGGTGTCCCCATGTCTCCCATTGTCCCTATATGTCCCAGTGTCCACATGTCTATGTCCACAACTGTCCCCATGTCTACCAGTGTCCCCAAGTGTCAGAGGGTGGAGACACTGAATGGCAGTGCTGCACACTAGGCAGTACTGCCCCAGGGAGCACCTCTAGCAGCCATCTAAGGAGCAGCCAGTGGAGTTATTTTCTCTGAAAAGACAGTGTTTACTGCAAAAAGCCTGAATGGAATGATTCTACTTACCAGAACAAATACAATAAGCTGTAGTTGTTCTGGTGACTATAGTGTCCCTTTAAGTTTGGAAGCTTAAGAGGGATGTATGGGAACAAAACTTGTGTGCACTTGCTGACATTAAAGTTAGTTTAGGTAATGCAGATGTTGGTCTCTCTAACACTGTGGCATTTCCCCTTTCTTCTACACTCACTACAGACATCTTTTCTCTGTCTCAGACTATATACCAGGAACTTCTGCCTGCTAGTAAGAAGGTAAGGAGACAAGTAGTCATGTGAGTGCTAGGGGACAGTCCTTAGAAAGCACGGAGTGAGCACATCATTAGATGCATTTATGTCAAGCTCAAGGTGCAGCCTGCATAGTATGCCCTTAGTTGGACAGCCTGCAGGATTGGCAGGCAGCCTGACATGCATTCATGCCAGGCTGACCTTTCAATTCTTTGGACAAATGTTCCCCTTTTTGGGCATGTTCGCCCCTTTTGGCAGTTCTGGTCACGTGATTCCCGTCAGTGGCACACCCTTTTACCCCACCCATTGACTTCCTGCTTCACTGGACACTGCTGTTAGGGATGGATTTACTTGAAAGATGAAAGCATAAAGTAGAGAGAGATTAGCATAGAGTATGTGTTTTCTTATAGCTGCATCCTATGAGTTTCCCTCCAGCACCATCTCCATCAGATACATGATGCTTGGGAGGTAAGGTTGTTTTAGTGTTTTTGGTTGATAAGATTCCGTAATTAGGCCCATCATAATTGTCAGCACCAGGCCCACTGGGCTCTTAATCCGGCCCTGCACGCAAGTACCGATGTTTTATGAAAACACTGGTTTGGGTTAGAGTAATTCTTGCTGTGCTGGTCTGCAAAACCATTACATAAATAAGCTAAAACGCAACTCTCTCCAGCACACAGAACAAGATCTCCCTGCAGTCAGATCCTCTATGACTGATGTGACCCTCTGGCAAGAAGGCTAAAGGGAGGTCATGGGCAGTATTGGGGGTGGGAGACTTGCCACTATTGTCTGTCTATGATCAGCATGTTGTGTGTGCTGGTGTCAGATGCCAATTTTGCACAAGATTCACATAGGACATAGGAATGCTGGTTTTGGGCTGGCTTATGACGCACCCCATGAGACAACACCTCCGGCAGCAGAGGAGTTAAACTCTGTGTGTTCAGCATTTCATAGAAAAAACACTGCACAATCAGACTTTAGGCAGCATGGCTAGTTCAAACCAGTAATGTGATCATAGTCCTTGCCTTAAAACGTTAAACTTAATTTTATTCTCCACCTTTACTATTATTATTTATATAGCACCAACAAATTACGCAGTGCTTTACAATGGGTGGGCTAACGAACATGTAATTGTAACCAGACAAGTTGGATGCACAGGAACAGAGTTGAGGGCCTTGCTCAATGAGTTTATATGCTAGAGGGAATGGGGTCTGTGGCGGCCACCCAGATAGGGACACGAGTCTCGCCGCCAAGGATGTCCTTTTCCACCTCTCTAGAGCTCTACTGCATGAGGCATGGTACACGCAATTTATACACAGATCCCTAGCAGGGGTCTCCATACAGTTCAATACAAACTCCTCCGTGTGTCTGAGGGATAATTGAGTTCAGGAGCGGTAACTTAATTATTTCTCAGTTACAGGGACCCACACAGAAAACACCCCAAAACACATGCAGTTTTTCGAGGAACCCTCACAAGCCCTATATCCACGGATAGCCCGGATCTGAGTGCCCAAGTTGTCCAAATAGCGCTCGGATCCATCTGGTAGAACAGGAACGCCATCCGGGTAAAGTTTAGATCGACCTCTCTGTTCGGGAGTTCCTGCATTTGTATAAAATTGTGTTCGGTTCTGGTTCCAGGGAGCGAATGTTCCATAGGTTTGTGCGAACACTTTGCCCAAAGAGTGCTCTCCTGAGACGTTTGGAAAAGAAGCTAATGATCTAAGTTCAGCGGTGTTTGCAAGTTAATCTTTCCAATATTAATTCCATGCACTCATAGAAACATTGAATGTGACGGCAGATAAGAACCATTCGGCCCATCTAGTCTGCCGAATTTTCTAAATACTTTCATTAGTCCCTGGCCTTATCTTATAGTTAGGATAGCCTTATGCCTATCCCACGCATGCTTAAACTCCTTTACTGTGTTAATCTCTACCACTTCAGCTGGAAGGCTATTCCATGCATCCACTACCCTCTCAGTAAAGTAATACTTCCTGATATTATTTTTAAACCTTTGTCCCTCTAATTTAAGACTATGTCCTCTTGTTGTGGTAGTTTTTCTTCTTTTAAATATAGTCTCCTCCTTTACTGTGTTGATTCCCTTTATATATTTAAATGTTTCTATCATATCCCCCCTGTCTCGTCTTTCCTCCAAGCTATACATGTTAAGATCCTTTAACCTTTCCTGGTAAGTTTTATCCCGCAATCCATGAACCAGTTTAGTAGCCCTTCTCTGAACCCTCTCTAAGGTATCAATATGCTTCTGAAGATACGGTCTCCAGTACTGTGTACAATACTCCAAGTGAGGTCTCACCAGTGTTCTGTACAATGGCATGAGCACTTCCCTCTTTCTACTGCTAATACCTCTCCCTATACAACCAAGCATTCTGCTAGCATTTCCTGCTGCTCTATTACATTGTCTGTCTACCTTTAAGTCATCAGAAATAATCACCCCTAAATCCCTTTCCTCAGATGTTGAGGTTAGGACTCTATCAAATATTCTGTACTCTGCCCTTGGGTTTTTACGTCCAAGATGCATTATCTTGCACTTATCCACATTAAATGTCAGTTGCCACAATTCTGACCATTTTTCTAGTTTACCTAAATCATTTGCCATTTGGCTTATCCCTCCTGGAACATCAACCCTGTTACATATCTTAGTATCATCAGCAAAAAGACATACCTTACCATCAAGACCTTCTGCAATATCACTAATAAAAATATTAAAGAGAATGGGTCCAAGTACAGATCCCTGAGGTACCCCACTGGTGACAAGTCCAAGCTTCGAATATATTCCATTGACTACAACCCTCTGTTGCCTGTCACTCAGCCACTGTCTTACCCATTCAACACTCAAAGTCTGAACACCGCTGCCGGCTTTCGTG